TTCAGTCTCTATGTACAACGAAAATGAAAGGTTGCGAACTGCACTGTACAAGGCATCGTGCTCGAACTGAATTTACCACTATATAGCGGTTACGGCATAGCGCTCTCAGAACGAACGAAAGCTTGGAAAAAGAATTGGAAAAAGCTCGCGTCGCCTTTATCGGGCATCACGAGGATCATCCCTGCGGACCCAGCGGGTTCCATGTTGGGATCTTCCGCGCTCCGATCTGGATCTCTTGCACACTTGCCTGGCTGGTAGGTCGGCCTCTCGAGGTATATCTGACCGATACCGATTGGCACGCCGCTGGACACCAGCCTTTGATCGCGTCCTGGCATTACGATCGGTGTAATTTCGTGCCGTGCATGCTAGCGGCTCGTGCCAGTCCTTATCTTATCGGAGTCAGACAGTAGGAGATCAGCGTTGATGCAAACTTGAATCTCTCTGTCTGCTTCAAGTTGGGAGAGTATACTTCTCTAAACTTGGCCTGGCCTTCCTCTGGCTCTTGGTATGCAAGCGATGCTTATTATGCGGATACCTAAACATGTAGAGGATGAGACAATCACCATCGTGAGCTGGATCGCCGTTAGCCGAAGGCATCCACTCTTCTGCCCGTATGTTGGAGACGATGTTCTAGGTGATGCGGAGCTCTCGCGCTGTCCTGTGAAGTTGCGCTGTGCTGCAAGGTTGCCATCTCCTGCAAGAACATCGACTTCGGCCGTTAGAGCGGCATACACCAGTGAGGTGAAATCAGCGCGGACCAAATCACATCCACCATGGTCCTGGTATTTTTGCAGCATCTTGCTGTTTACATGGAAGTTGCAAATGATGATTTCGTTGCTGTCCAATCGCGTTTGATCGCTCCTGGACGCCCTGTTTTCAATCATCGACTCATCGAGTTCAATGATCGGGTCGTCAGCAGGATCCCAGTTTGGATCAGTGTGATGGGAGTGCAGGGCCGTTGATCAGAGAGGCAGCTCTGATGGAATGAAACCCTTACGGAGTTGTCGTCCAAGTTGATATCGGCGTCTATCGCCGACTCAATGGTTGCGTCCACACCTCATCTGTGGTCATCCGCTGGCCCGTCACAAAGCTGCTGTCGGCTACCGCTTGTGGATCAAGATTTCCGAAGAAAATACGAACAACAACGGCATTAGGTTTTCTTAAATACATTTTCTGCTGCCTCCTGCAGGATCATAACATGGCATGGATTTGCCTGGGAATACCGATAGATCGGTTGATTCCTGGCAGTTCTTTGGCAACTTGTACCTGCCCATGCCGCCTGATCGGCCCAGGTCACCGAAATTGAAAACACCTATGTTTAGACCTGGTGTGATCGCATGTTCAAAGATGCAGTAGGGGCATCCTGCCATGTCTTCTTGGCTCTGTATGAATTTGCATTCATCAGATTCTTGCTCATAATTTCACATTTTGACTTCCACAAACCTGGCTCTGACCTGGAGTTCAGGTTGAAGAGTCCTGTTGGCCGATAGATTGGCAAATGGACAGGGCCAACTTCAGGAGATTGCTGTGAGTACATCTCCTCCATAGTTGGGCAGGCGTTCACGCCATCACGAATCACGAGGCCGGAACGTAGTGTCCTGGGCCTTGATTCTGTCCAGAACTCTCGAGATGAGAGTTGGTACAAAACAGTGTTGCCTGACGAGATGCCGTTCTGGACATTGCTCACCATTTCGGACATTGTCCTCTTGCGGATTTCCGCAGCTTCCTCCATAGAGGAACTCGCGTTTGAAAACTGCTTCTTGAGCATCGGCCTCGTCCATCTCAATGCGCAACAGCGTCGAAATCTTCAGGTCAGGATCCATTGCAAAAACCGAAGGCCACGCACTACCGTACAGCCGTTAGTTCGGCCTGTCTCCCTACCAGATGGCCCGCCTCGCGTCCGCCACTCCGCCTCCCGCCGCCGCCCACTCATCTTACACCACTCATCTCACACAACTCATCTTACACCGCTCATCTCACACTGCTCATCACATCCACTCATCTCACACAACTCATCACAACAACTCATCTCACACAACTCATCACATCCCACTCATCTCACAGCTCATCACAACAACTCATCTCACACAACTCGTGACAACAACTCATCTCACGCAACTCATCACACACAATTCATCACAACAACTCATCTCACACGACTCATCACTTTCCACTCATCTTACGTGCAGATTTCGTGGCAGGCGCAGTGCTTAAGTGCAGATTTCGTGGCAGGCGCAGCACTTGGTGAACCTGGAGTGCAGATTTCGTGGCAGGCGCAGTACACAGAGCCTTGAGGAGGACCGGGTGGACGCGTGGTCGCCGCTGGCCCGCGGCTGCCTGTTGTGCAGATTTCGTTTCAGGCACAGCGCTTGGTGAACCTGGAGTGTAGGTTTTGTGGCAGGCGCAGTGCGCAGAGCCTTCAGGAGGACCGGGTGGACGCGTCGTCGCCGCTGGCCCGCGGCTGCCTGTCGCGCAGATTTCGTGGCAGGCACAGCACTTGGTGAACCTCGAGCGCCGATTTTGTGGCAGGCGCAGTACTTCGTGGCATCGTGAACCTCGAAGTGCAGATTTCGTTGCAGGCACAGCACTTGGTGAACCTGGAGTGCAGATTTCGTAGCAGGCGCAGTGCGCAGCGTCTTGAGGAGGACCGGGTGGAAGCGTGGTCGCCGCTGGCCCGCGGCTGCCTGTCGTGCAGATTTCGTGGCAGGCACACAGCACTTCCCTGAGTCTGCTGCTGTACTAAATTTTAATTTTTGGATGGATTCAGTCTAATTGGTAGGTTTACATTGATTTTCATGTAAAATATTAACTAAACTATATTTTGAGAAAACAATAAACTACATGTACTTTTGTAACAAAAAACATGTAGTTTTGCATGATCTTCTGCTACGCAATCTCACCTGCATTTCGTGCCCTCGACGCGCACGATCTCCGCAGAGGGTTACGTTTCGTGGTTCCGGCGGCACCGCCCCCGGCCTTAAGAGAGAAAGTAAAGAAGAGCGAGAGGTGAAGATGTGAGATGTAGATGTGAGAATGTAGATGTGCAGAGGTGCAGATATGAAGATGTAGATGAGACGTAGTTCTGCAGATGTTTTTTACGAAGAACCCTTCACAGACGCTCTCGGGAAAAAGGTTAGTGACATGAAACGACATGAACCTTGCAACAGAACAAAGCAAAAAAATAGACCAGAGCAGAGCAGAGCAGAACAGGCAGGGCAGAAAAGACATAACAGAACAAAACAGAACAGAGCAGACCAGAGCAAACAGAGCATAACAGAAAACACAAAACAGAAAAAGCAAAGCAGAGCAGAACAGAGCAGTGCAGAAAAGACAGAACAGAACAGAACAGAGCAGAACAGAAAAGGGCAGAGCAGAACAGAGCAGAGCACAGCAGAACTGAACAAAGACCGAAAAGAACGGAACAGAGCAGAACAGAGCAGAACAGAACAGAGCAGACCAGAACGGAGCAGAGCAGAACTGAGCAAAGTAGAGCAGAACAGAGCAAATCAGAACAGAGCAAAACAGAATAGACCAAAACAACGCAAACAGAACGGAGGAGAGCAGAACAAAGGAGAGCAGAACAGAACAGAGCAGAACATAACAGAGCAGAACAGATCAGAAAAGAACAGAGCAGAACAGAACTGAAGAGGGCAGAGCAGAGCAGAACACAGCAGAACAGAGCAGAGCAGAACAATGCCCAACC